CGTAGCATTGCAATTTGTTCCGCATATAATTTGTAGTTCCTGAATCCAGCCAGCCTTTTAAGGTCGCAGTTTTGAACCCAGTGCATCCTTTATTCTCTGCAGGATGATGCGGCCAAATATTTTGGTTTGGGTGGACGGGAGTGCAGCATGATTCGGTGCCAGTTCTTGCAAACACTTAGGTCACCCTTCTTTGGGAGTTGGACAAGGTAAGCTTTCTTCTAATCAGTGGGCAAGTACCTTTCATTCCTTGCTTCCAGACCTTCTGCAATAGTGGTGTGAGCATGTCGGCTGTTGTCCCTGCCTCTGCTCTCAGTGCTTCTGGCGGTATTCCATCTGGTCCTACTGCCTTCCCGCATTTCAGTAGCTTTATGACGTGTAGGACTTCGACTTTGGTGGTCTATCACCAGCTTCTTTGCAGACTTTCAACTTGATTTTGTAGGTTCTTTGCACTAGACAGTGAGTGGTCTGAGCCTACATCTACTCCCCTTCTTGACCTTGTGTCAAGTAGGCTGCGTCTCCACTTTCGTGAGATTGAGATAAAGTCGATCTGATTTTCAGTGCGTCCATCTAGTGAAATCGAATCCATGTCGCTTTGTGAATATCCTTGTGTTTGTAAACACTGCCTCCAATCACCAAATCACTGAATGCACAGAATTCTGCTAGCGACTTCTATTCTCGTTCATTTCACCAAGTGCTTCTCAACACATGATCACTTCTCTTTCTGTGTTCTCCACTCCCATTTCGGCACTCATGTCACCCCACCCATTGGAATTTCGATGTCACCATCTGGGAAGGGGTGTTGTCCAGTGTTGATTGCAGTTATCTGTAAAATTCCTCCTCCTTCTCTTCATCTGCATTATTTGTAGGTGCGTAGTGTTGCATTGTATGCTTGTGACTTTCCTTCCTTCTGAGTTGAACCTTGGTGTCATGATACTGCAAGAGGAGATTGGTTCCGATATGATTTCATTGGATAATATATATTCACAAATCGAAAGTCTATCACAATATCATATAAATAGTTTCTATTCCAGCCTTTTTTCTGTGCGGAGGTTTGGTGGAGACATATTTATATTTCAATGCATACAAAACTCGGTAAACAAAATCTGTTCATCAACCATACACCATTTACCATATTTCTGAAGAAATCTGACTTAGAGTGAAACATTTGTCAGTGTTATCTAACCCTAACTACTTCCTTAAGTGATGTCGTGTTATAATGAAATTACCTCCAAGTCTGTCAATTTCTTAAAACTGCTCGGAGAAAAAAATCGCTATCATGTTGCAGTCAGGCGTTCTTCACTACTTTGACAACAAGAACCACTTCTGCTCTGATTTTAGAGCCAAGGCAATAAAGGATCACCTCTTCAGAACTCTGTTGGTTTTTTATTGCAAACTTATAACTTTGTTTGTTAGAATTAAAGGCATAGAAGACATTAATGTAAGTGTGGAACTTGGGCACTGCGGTAGAATTTCATTCCATATTAGATTTGTCAATTTGATTTATGACACACAATGGTATAGTATGATTTACTTGATGATCTTTGGGGCATAAATTATCACTGCTTATATTCATATCAGAAGGAGTAGCGATGGGATCACCAGTGTCTTCAGTGACAGCAGATATATTTATGGACAGTTGGAAAAACATGACTTTATGAATGTTTAGTCCTGTACCTAGGATATGGTGGCGATATGTGGGCGACAAGTTTATTGTGTTGAAATCGGAATATATCGACAATTTCCTCACATATATAAACTCAGTGGTAGACGCAATCCAGTTCACTTACCAGGTAGAAAGTGAACAAAGAGAATTACCTATGTTGGATTTCAGAATAAAACAAAGAACCGACAGTGGCTTGGATACTACTGTCTACAGGAAACCGATACATTATCACAGGCATCTAGACTTTGTGTCATCCAATGTCAGTTAAGGCAGGTTTAGTCAAATGTCTAAATGAAACAGCTAGAAAACCGACTAGTCAGTGCAAAGACTTAAACAAGGAACTGAAAGAAGCGCCAATGGTTAATAATTATCCTCTGCTGTTTATTAATAATTAGTAAGAACGCATAAGAAACAAAGTAACAACAGTAATGCGAGTGGAAAGGATTTCACACCATCCCTCTTGTTACCAAATAAGTAAGGAACATCAGAAACTTTACGTAAGACTCTCAACAAAGCTGGAATTAGGGTGGCATTTAAACCTACAAAACTCACTCAGAAATAAGCTTTGTCGGCTGGCTTAAGGATCTGATAGAACCAATTAAGTAAAATAATCTAACCTATCAGATTCCATCCAATGATTGTGAGGTCAAGTACATGGGATACGCTAGCCTATTTGAGTCAGTTGGATTAGCGGAACATAGGAATTTGGGTAAATATAGAATGACATGTCCGAATAGGATCAGTAATCCAGAAAGTAAATCGACTATTGCAATGCATGCATCAACACAACCATACAATAGGTGGGTGGGATAAAACCACTATACTAAAGTCCGAAATATTTAGCCGTAGAAAGAGAGAGAGAGGGACGGGGACTGATTAGCGAATCTTTGTTCATCGAATCAAAACGCAACATATGTGTAATAGGAATGACGCAATATCCATACCACCTATATTGTAAGTGACTTGATTACATTGATCTAACTATAAGGAGTGACAATTTCTACTCGAAACGTCATCAAGTAAATAATATTATATCACCCTATGTGTTATAAATCAAATAAACAATTCTAATGTGAATTAGAAGACAGTTTTTGGGTCTCTGTTCCTTTTGTGGATGAAATTCAACGTTAAATATGTCAGAGAATAGCAACAGGTGGTCTGTTTTGTAGGATATTTGTCTATTCGAAGTCATACCTTGTCAGATCTCGCTAACTTTGCTCAATTCATACTTAGAATATAAGTTTAATCTGTGAGATTAGATTTAACATACTTATAAAACAGTTAAAAAGGAATGGTTGTTGGCGTTTATATACACCAATTGTTCAGCATTCTTTCTTGTTCATTAGGACTTTATCAACCTTAGTTTCAGTATGTGATCACTGTTGTTCAGGTTGAGGTAGGTGAAGAATCCATTCACTGTTTTATACTTGTTATCTTTTGTTGAAATACTAAGTCGCATTGTCGTACTATTACTGTTAGCTTCCAAGCAGATAAAAACATTATGAGTAATTAGGGAGTATCAAGGCATCAATGCTGGAGGTCATTTGCCAACAGAGGTTGAACAATTAGATCCAGTAGAGCAACGAGAAACTACACGAATCAAACAACGACATATGATACTCGTTGGACAAAAGATAGCTTGGGTACTCCTACTTTTGAAGCGAAAAACATTAATTTTGAGTTCCAGCGGAAAGAGAATCTCTCACTGGGATAAAAGTACATTAGGCTGATGAGTCCTAAATAGGACGAAATATACGTCCTAAATTCCACTGCTAGTCACCAAACATATAGTAGAAAATCCATTTATCATTGGATATTTCATTTTAGCCTTAAGCATATAGTGAGCTTTTGAGGAAGTATGAAATTTTTGTTAGTATACTGACTGACATTTTTATATCTGCAAATATTTGGCGCTCAGAGTTTAGACTATCATCGTGTAAATATTTATTAATCAGGATTTGTTTAAAGGTAAAACAAACAGATCCTAGAGGCTTAAAATACAATTATGTTGGAGATTATCAAAAAAGTAAAAAAACTGGATGATATACTCTAACAATCTATTTCAAAGGATGAGTTATTTGCATTTAAAATACTAGGGAAGACAATTATGCTTCTTAAGATTAAATAAATGATGTTTGTAGTTGAAAATGTGTAGGTCAGCTAGGTGATCTAACATGAACTGAAACGTTAACCTGTTGGTCATGTAATAATGATGTGATGAACACTCTTCAGACTCAATGAAAATACAAATAAACATTTTCACTTATCTCTTATTAGCTTCAATAACTCGAATATTAGGATGTTTGTTAAAATTTATTCTGAATCATTCTGTCTACTACTTACTTGACATTCTAATTTAGATGAATGAATACGGTGAACTGTGTATTAAAACTCTAATAACCGAATTGCTAGTTCAAGATTCTTCAAAGAAAATAATGAAAAATTAAAATATTTGAAGACGTATACTTCATCTCCTGCTCTAATCCTTTTCTGATTGAGAACCTGAGAAGACTGGGAAACATTTTCGTCTTACTTTGTCACTCCTCAATTGTCCGGATTAAAAAACCTTGGTGGACATAGAGCCTACGGTCTTTGGTACTCGTGGTTAGCACGTGATTGTTGAGCCATTTAGTTGGAATCCAATGCATAACAATTTTCTACTTCTCTTAATTCATGATTTTGTGTGACTATCACTGTGGTTTAGTTTGCCAAGTAAGTCATAACTTTTCATCAGAACTTTATTCTACGACAAAGATGTAGGTGAGTATTGCTATGAAGTCCTATCCTTGGATAAGACAAGTGTTTATTTATACGCGTCACTTTTCGGACAATAAGTGATGGATAGTGGCTAGCAGTGGAATCCAGGATGTGCATCTCATCCTATTTGGGACTAGTCAGCTGCATTTACTTGCCTTCCAGTGCCGAGTGATGTTATTTCCACTAGAGTTTAGACTCAGAAGCGATCGCTTTAAACGGGAGAGCATTATCCACTACACTACCGAGCCAAGATACTACTACTTGTGGGATGGGTATAGTTTTAGTATTATGGCTTGTATTATACCGTCATTAATTAAAACCGAATTGATCAGCTTCTGTTGGCAATATAGGTTCCTATGCGGATACCTCGATATTACCTATGTTCGAATTATATTAAAGATGGATAGTGATTGAGTCCAGTCAATACAAGAAGTGGCTAAGTCCGAATCCCAGTGGGAACAATATTATTCACTGATGAGTCTCAAATTTGAAAGTTGATACTATTGATCAATAGACAATTAAGATTTTATATATACAAACAATAGAGTATATAAAAGTTATTAACATGAAATTAATTTACCAGCATATGATCTTGGCACCATATCACCATATCCAACAGTTGTCATAGTTACTATAGCCCACCATAAACCAATTGGTATTGATGTGAAATCATTTCGTGGATTTGTACTTAATCGTTCAGCATAATATATTAATGCAGCAAATAGTACAATAAATACTCCCAAAAAAAATATTAATAAAGAGAATTCTTTTGCACTTGCTTTAAATGTTAATATAAGAATTTTTAAACCAGATATATGCCTTGTTAATTTGAATAAACGCATAACACGTACAATACTAAAAAATTCAACTATTGGTGAAATTATTATTTCATTCACATTATACTTTAATAATATAACTTCTGTATAAAAACTAAGTAATGCACCAATATCAATTAGATTAATTAAATTTTTTACAAACTCTTTATGATCCATTGAAACAGTGAAACGTACAATTAATTCTAATGTGAACCATAAATTACATATACATTCAATATAAATAAAGATACTACTTTTTTGTGGTCGTTTATCACTAAATATTGAATATTGATAATATGATGAATAATTTTTTGTTAATATAGTTATATTACTTATTTTTTGTTTATCTCTAATATCTTCAAATATTAATTTATACGGATTATTATTATTATTATGATGGTATGATTGAGAAGTGGAATATTTATTGTTTACATTATTATTATTATTATTATTATCATCATCAATATTTCCAATGATTTCTTCTGTTATTAAAGATGGTGTAAGAAATGTTGGCGCTGTATCCAAACAATAGGCCAATATAGAAAGAATAATGCAGGTAACAGACAATAGAGCAATAAACTGATAAGAGAAAATAAAACAATTTGATTAGTAGAATATAAAAAACATTACTAATATTTACGGATATCATAGAAAAATAAATAAATAACCATGGAATTTACGGCCTTTATACTTTGTAGTTCCATGTCGATTATATGTGATCATTTCAGTCCTTTTGATCAGGGTTTTCTCAAAACTTTTGGCCATTAAAGCCATGTTAACTTCACAATACGTCAAAATGAAACACTAGACTTTATATTCACCAATGATACTGATATATATATATATATATATATATAAAACTTGAAAACAGCCCCACTACTCAGCTCAGATCATTGCATTATACGTGTTTTGTCCAAAATGTATGGTAAACTACACAAATCATCCTTCACATATAAGAAAACTGTATACAGAAACTATTCACTAAGTAGCATACTTAATCTAAGAGAAATGTTACAATGTACAGATTGCAATATATTTGATAGTGACATTTTGGACGACACTATCTTAAGTTTTTAGTATTATTGTTTTATATGATACCGTCGTTGATTGGACGGAATTGATCAGTCTCTATTGGTATATGGGCTCCTGTGCGGATGCCTCGATATTGCCAGTGTTCTATTTATGTTAATGATGAATCATGGCTAGCAGTGGAATCCAGGATGCGCATTCCGTCCTATTTGGGACTCGTCAGCTGGATGTACCTGCTTCCCAGTGCTGAGTGATATTGTTCATACCGGGATTCGGACTCGGGAGCGGTCGCTTTAGACGCCAGTGCGTTGTCCATTACAAGAAGTGGCTAACGTGGCTCGGCGGTGTACTGGACAACACGCTGGCATCTGAGGCGGTCCCTCCTGAGTCCGAATCCCTGTCTGAAAAATATCACTCACTGGAAAGCAGGTACATCTAGCTGACGAGTCCTAAATAGGACGAAATGCCCATCCTGGACTCCACTGCTAACCATGACCCATCATGATCCCAAGTTTTCCCCGGATATCTGTTATCTCAGTATAAAGCTTTCTCTACGCTTCAAAGGCTATATAAAGTAGCTGATTTAAGGTTTTAATTAGGTTGGAAATTAAACGTCTGAGTCTACAATATCACCAGAAACTCGTCATACATGCGGAAACGTTTTAAAGACCTCACTGATAGTAAACACCTTAGTAAAGAAGCACGGATCAACGTCTGTGGTTTAATTAAATCGTTTATATGTCAAGTCACCTGTCCCATCCGGCTCTGTTGGCATATTTCCAACGAAGAATGTTATTCAAAATTCACTGAGAAAGATATTAGTAAGTGTCTGAAATCCTTGAACCCTTCACACAGTTTAAGTTCGTATGGTAAGTCAGACTTCGTATTCACGAAGTATATTATACCATTCATAAGCTAATAAGTTTATTAGATCGTCTTCAGAAAAAAACCCATACCGGCTGCTTGGAATGATATTAAGATGACTCCAGACTCTTGTTTAAAATTCCACCTGACTGTAGGTAATTCTCCCTTCTTGAAAATAATGGAGAAGCCAGTAATACTTGGGGTCTGAAGCCGCATTGAGGGTTTTTGGAGATCCTAATCAATTCGCATATAACACCAGAAAAAGCTTTCAGGGTATCATCACCGTCTATCACAATATTCATCATGATCTTGATAGAAATACCAAGTATGTCGGGTGTGCCTTTTTAGACTAAACTTCAGCATTTGAGTCTGTCCCGAGACCTCTGTTGTTGGACAAGCTAAATGGGACTCATACTGAATCCTGGATAATCAATTGACTGTATTGCTATTTCTCTGAAAGCAAACAGCATTCTGTTTACAGACGAAAGAGCTCCACCTCATTGTGCCGTTCTTTCCCTCACTCTTTTCTCCATCTTCACCTAGTATCAATTGTGTCATGTATGCTGATTATCTGACAGTTTCCAAACCTGTCTCCTCTTCAACAGATTATTCCCAACTGAATGATTTCCTATCTACTGTCTCCTATGAATGACATTATGCTGGATTCGTCAAAATGTCAGAGTATCGACTTTAGCCTCAGACGTGAACATAACCCATGTAAAGTGCTTAGGTCCCATAATTCCTGTTGATAGTTGTGCATTAAAAAATTTTAAAAATGTGATTTATCTCGGTGTATATTTTTCTTCGAACCATTCCTACGTAGTAGGAAACGCATCCCAAGGATTCTTCTTTTTTGAAGGTATCAAATGAGAAATCGTACTTATAACAAACAACCACTTTCTCCGTTGAACCACAGTTTCTTCAAAGATTTCCTGACAAAAGTTATTCATATTCCTTCTTATGTGTTTATCAGTTAACCACAGTGTTTGTTCTTGCATAAATGATAAAGTTGACGATCGCAATAAGTGATATTACTCGTCGGTAGCTTTTGTTATGGATTTATATAATTTAAATGAGCACTAACATATAAGGGCTACCGAACAGTTATCTTATTTCTTTTAAATAATCCTAAGAGAGGAGTAATTTCGACTATTTACAAGTCCTAGGCAGAAGGGATTTAGGCTAGCGTTCACCATGGACTGAAATCGCTTGAAGAAACATTAGAAATTTGGGAACGACGAACGACTGTTTTGTCCTAGCGTGAGTTTCTTCAGCAGTGTGCATTCGTGACTCTGCCCTCAAGGAATCCAACTCAGGGTCATCAGGTTCCGTGGGAAGCACGTTAACATTGAGTCACTGAATCAGAATCCAATGATTCATATTCCGTACCACTGGAAACCCTTATTTAGAGATAGGACCGATTTGCAAAAATCATATTTCTCAGTGGATACAATTGATATTCACTTGCTTGAATGATGTGCAGTAACACGATTGTTGCGTACACTGTAGTGTTTGTAAACACTTCACACTAAGCGTTGCGCATAAGGCATGTTATTCATAATAACATACTTCTCATTTTCGCTGTAAATGAAACTAACTTTACGGAATTTCCTAATATTTGTTGATACTTGTAATTCTCCTTTGTAATACTGGATCATATTGATCCCTTCTATTGGGATATGAACTCCCGTTGCACAAGAGGTAGCTGTTATGCATCAGTAGCCTATAGCGTTTGAAGCGATTGCCTATGATTTCAAGTCTGAATAGGAACAACATTACTCACTGGATATCAAGGTACATCTAGTTGACAAAGCCTAGATATGAAAAAAATGTGCATCCTGGATTCAACTGCTAGTCATAATCGAGTCGGCTTATGGAATTTAGTTATGGATTGTGGTAAAAGTACATGCTTTCTCACCTTAGCTCCAATTGATGAATGTGGTAATTCAAATAAAGCCCATACTTTTGGACGATACTTTTGCCATGAATTAAGTTCATTACATGTATATTCTTCTTCTAGACCAAAACGTTTATACAAACTCTCCGGTGTATAATCATCATTATCCATATCAACTTTGTCTAAAATTTGTAGAGTGGCTTGTGTATCACGATGTGCTGTATACGTCATCCAACAGCACGGTTCAACCTGAACAAAAACATGACATGAAGAGAGAGAGAGAGAGAGATAAGATTAGTGTATGGAGAAAACTTTGAGTGAAACAAGTAGTTATTGTTCTCATTAATAGTATTCACAATGTTCTTATTACCTAACAAAGAAAATATGCACTTAAAGGGGCTCTTTCAGATGATACATAAGAAGTTTTACCGATGAAAAACTCTGTGTTGTATGTCAGGATAAATAGTTACGCTCTCAGATGTCAAGAATGTTTCAACGCTTTTCAGCTGCAGTAAATTCACAATCTAGTAAGATGGCTGGCCTCTCTAATCAAAAGTTAGATATATTTACAAAAATCTGTGGCCATCGAGGATGATTTCACAAGTATTCTCTGAGCATTATACCGTGGTTTGAGGAAATTTATTGTCTTTACAAATAAGATCTACGCAATTCCAAATTAGACTTGTTTATTCGATTTATACCACACAGTGATACAGCATTACTTACTTGACGTTTCAAGGGGAAATTAACGCTGCTTATAATCAGATCAGTGTAATCACACTACTTTCGACATCAGCATCTTACACTCCTGTCACCTGATATTCATTGTTTTGATTACTAGTAAAATTTCCCATATCTCTGGTAAAGGCGTTGCATCATTTCTGTTACATGTGTTCGGTGTTAGCTGATTCGATGAACAAAGATTCAACGATCAATACCCGTCTATCTGTCTCTCTCCACCTAATTATATTCGACTTGAGTACAGTGGTTTTATCCCACAAATCCCATTATGTAATTGGGTGTTAGTGCATACAATGCAAAAGGCGAGTTAATTTTTAGATGAGAGATGTAATTTGGGTTTTCCATACAATATTTAGCCTAGCCTAGTTTACTAGTTCACTAGTTTACTACCCGGTTTCAAGCCAGGAAAAGCGGATAAGGTTGGGTATAAGGCGAAAAGCCCTATCCCTTAAAACCAATCCAATCGCTAAAGAAACTTCAAAGCTCAGACGAAATATAAAAAATAAAAATAAACTTACTCCTCCCTAGAAGCCGGCAGACGAAGTGACGCCGATTGGTGAAAGACTTCAGGAAGCCAGTTGACCGATGCGTCTTCTCTCTCGATGAAAGCAAAAGTAAATATAAGGACGTCGAATGTTCACACAGTGTTTGAAGCTGGCTAGTAAGGCTGCCCAGATTACAAAAAAATATGAGACAATATAGTACAGGAGTGCTAGGAATCTACGAAAGCAGATGTAATGGTAGTGGACTTTCCAAACTGCCAACTGGGGAGTCAATAATCTACTCCGATATTGTTATCCACACGACAACCACGAGCACACCGAGTTTTGCAGTGGCCATCATGATGACCCCTTCAAGAGCATCGAAGGCTCTCATTCAGTGGGAACCAACCTCCTCCTGCAGGATCAGGATCATGACAGCAAGATTCAACTCAAAAGAGAGGAAGGTTATAATCACGCGATGTTACGTAACGCATCTAAAAGTAATGGAGATCAAGAGAAGAAGGAGGAATTCTACTGACAACTGCAATCAGCACTGGATAAGACACCATCCCAGATGGCAACATCGAAATTCCAATGGGTGGGGTGACATGAGTGCCGAAATGGGAGCGGAGAACACAGAATCAGAACTAACCGTGGATCGAGAAGCACTCAGTGAAATGAACGAGGATGGAGAACTGTTTGCAGAATTCTGTGCATTCAGTGATTTGGTTATTGGAGGCAGTGTGTACAAACACAAGGATATTCACAAAGCAAGCGACATGGGTTTCACCAGATGGACACACTAAAACCAGACTGACTTCATTTCAATCTGAAGAAAGTGAAGATGCAGCCCACTAGAAACAATATCAGATCAGGGAGAGGAGGAGATGTAGGTTCATGCCACTCAATATCTACTGCAATGAACCTTCAAAATCAAGTTGAAAGTCTGCAAAGAAGCTTGTGATAGATCACAGTTCAAGTTCAACGCCCAGAACACAAACTTAAGGACGAAACTACAAAGGAACATCTTTACATCAGTCATCAAGACAAAATGGGAGTTATCGAGCAACATCCCTGAAGAAACCTGTGTGGATGAACACTGGAAGTCTTTGAAAGAGATGTGGAAAGAAACCTGTATGACCGTATTAGGGAGGAAGAAGAAAGAGGATAAGGAATGGATCTCGACGGACACATGGAAGCTGAAAGAGGAGAGGAGGATGATTAAGCAGAAGATACGCCAGTAAAGTATAAGAATGAACAACGAAAAGAAGAATTGAACACAACTTATAAAACACTACACTGGACAAAGAAGTGAAGAAGAGTGCACGGAAAGACAAACGACACTTCCACGACACACTGGCAAGTGAAGCAGAACAGGCTGGTAGGAGAGATTTGACAACATTGTATCAAATAACCAGGTTACTATCTAGTAGGGAAGAGATCAACACACATGAAACCAATAAAAGATGAAGGAAATCTAATTACGAAAGATGAGAAACAAAGAAAACGATGAGCTGACCACTTCAAAAAGCTCTTGGACCCACTACCACCACAATTACCTGCAATTCGTCCAGAAATACCACCAGCAACCCAGCCACAGATCTACCAGTGAACACATAACCTTCGACGAAAGTCGAAGTCCTGAGTGCCATAAGGCTACTGAAATGCGGGAAAGCAGCAGGACCAGATGGATTCCTACCAAAAACACTGAGAACAGATGCAGGGACAACAGCAGACATGCTCACACCACTACTGCAGAAGGTCTGGAATGAAGAAAGGAAAGGTACTTGCCCACTGATTGGGAGAATGGCTACCTTGTCCAACTCCAAAAGAAGGGAGACCTTAGTCTTCACGAGGACTGGCACGGAATCATGCTCCACTCCTGTCCACCCCAAGTAAAATGATAGGTCATACCATCCTGGAGAGAATAAAGGATGCACTGGATTCAAAACTACGACCTTAACAAGCTGGCTCGATTGAAGAAGAACAAATCATGTTCGGAACAATTTGCAACGCTACGCTATGCATCAACATAGAACAGATCAAAGAATGCCGGTTAACTGGGTCTCTATCTCAACTCCATCGACTTTGGAAAGGCTTTTGATAGCGTCGACCGAGAAATCACTTTGCAACTGCACCAACACTATGGAATACCAAAAACCTTTACCAACCTCATTCAACACCTATATGAAGACGCCACATGCCAAGTAATTCACAATTGAAAGCTCAGTGATGCTTTTGAAGTGAACGCAGGAGTAAAACAACGTTGTCTACTGTGACACATGATATTCCTGATTGTGGTGGACGGGATCATGCAGCAAACAGCGAGGAGCAAGAAGAGAGGGATACGCTGGACTGGGGAAAAGATTCTAGAAGATTTGGATTTCGCTGATGACTTGTGTCTAATGTCACACACACTTGAAGATCTACAGACGAAAAGTAATGCGTTGACAGAACAGGCTAGGCAGGATAGCGAAGACGGGACTTCAAGTGGACGTAGAGAAGACAGAGGTGACGAAGTTACCCACGAAAAACACCAATAACAATAAAAAGCTTTAATCACCATCAATGGGAGAAACTTAAAGGAAGTAGTCTCTTTTACCTATGTAGGCAACGCTGTATCAACTACAGGCAGCGCCATAAATGAAGACGTCTAAGCAGCCAGGATCGGAAAGATAGCAAGACAGGCCTTCCTTCATTAAACTGAAACCAGTGTGGACATCCTCGGCACTCACCACAAGGCGTGAACAACATCCGGATCCTCAACACCAATTCAGTCAAGTAAGTCAGTGCTTCTATGTGATGGTTGAGAGACTTGGCGCGTTAAGAAAACCACTTCCAACAAACTACCAATATTCATCAACAACTGCCTACTCTGGCTCGTTACTCAAGCTCAGATTGCCAGAATAATAAGAATAAGCAAGAAGGAACTCTAGCTGGCTGGCTGGCTGGCTGACTGGCAACTAACCAACGAAGAGAGAACCTATCGCTCAAGAAATATACAGAAGGCAATCGGGATAGACGGATTCGGTATGCACTCAGAAGACCGATTGGGGATATCATGCGCCAGGACACGCCGTCGAGTGGAACTCAGATGGGAAACGGCGAGTTCGGCGTTGAAGGCGAGGGTGATATGTAGGAGAATGTGTGAGGAAGAAATGAGAGCTTGTGGGCAGTCTTGGAGCCAAGTTGGAAAGATTGCAGAGAACAGAGTGGAATGGCGACATGCTAGTGAAGTCCTATGTTCCACAACGATCATAAGGGACAAACAATAATGTAATAATATAACTAACTGTAGGATATACAAAGGGCCACCAAGTATAATTTAAAGTAGACTAAAATCAGATGACCAGCTTGGAAGCGATTTACTAACCACACAGTGGAAGTTGACTTTTTTTAGAGCTAATTAGTTTTTAAACTGCCCAGCCAGGTTATCAACAGTGTTTCTGTTGGAAACCACTGTCTGATCTGAAGACCTCTGATGACATAAACACCGGAAAGTCGCTTCTCTAGCTTGCGACCGAACTCTTTAGTGATGTATCCCGAAAATCCAGTTCTTAGCGCCGAAATCATGTCGACACTACAGCTGAGCAGTTGAAATGTTACTTGGCTCTGAGGATTATCAACTTAGTGTGTAATTTGCAAATCATTTGCAAACTGGCTGTTTTGTTTTGGAAGTACAGGTCAGCTAGCAAGATTCGGGTGATTTGACCAAATCTACTCTGTGATCTCAGTTTATCCAAGCACATAGCTGATGGGCTTGGCTTCAAACAAGTGAATTGGAGGTCCGATGTCTACATCAATATGATCTGAACGGCTGGTAAAAGCTATAGACCAGCTTGAGAAGATTCTTACTACTCATGTCGTTCAGTATTAGTATTTTTAGAAGTAGTTTGTTGAGGTCAGTACAACACAAAAAGATTGATCTTCTCTCACCTATTTGAAATATTTTCCAAGCCGTTTGAAATCAGTGAAAGTGATGAGAGAAGTAAAAAGAAGTGGAAAATACACAACTGATACAAACAGTATGCTGTAAAGCGTAACTATACCTCAGATATCCTGCTCACTTGCAAGATGAATTTACTGAAATCTCTTAAGATAAAGTAAAATGTCTTATTCATTTCACTGTTTAGTCGTGTATTGAAATGATTTTACTGAAATTACAAAAAGAAATACATACGTAAGAGTAGTTGGACAGATGATTGGAGGAATGGTACAAGTCAACAAAATCACTAGAGAATTCAATTTTTTCATCAAAGATTTAGATAAAAACAGAAAAGAATAAACTGAAGTGTGTAGAACTGACGTTGTAAAGGAAACATCCATTCACCTAGTTTCGATTGTGAAAACTGTCATTTGTAATCTAATTTCTAAAATCTTGATGTGAAGAGAGTATCTAATTACAAATTTTGCCTAAAGATTATATATAGTCATTTAATTAACGGGTTTGCAGGGATTTATTGATTTCAAGTTAGCATTCATCATGAACTGATATCCTTTCGAGGAACATTGGAAACTTGGCTTTTGTATATTTCTTAAGCGATAGGTTCTCTCTTCGTTGGTTAGTTGCCAGTCAGCCAGCCAGCCAGCCAGCCAGCTAGAGTTCCTTCTTGCTTATTCTTATTATTCTGGCAATCTGAGCTTGAGTAACGAGCCAGAGTAGGCAGTTGTTGATGAATATTGGTAGTTTGTTGGAAGTGGTTTTCTTAACGCGCCAAGTCTCTCAACCATCACATAGAAGCACTGACTTACTTGACTGAATTGGTGTTGAGGATCCGGATGTTGTTCACGCCTTGTGGTGAGTGCCGAGGATGTCCACACTGGTTTCAGTTTAATGAAGGAAGGCCTGTCTTGCTATCTTTCCGATCCTGGCTGCTTTGACGTCCTCGTCTGTTGAGAAATAACTCTAATATTTAGTAAGATGCATTCGTCGATCATACATAATTTCCATGATTTAAATGTTTTTTAATTTTTCTAAAAATCTGTACCTTTAACACTTTTATTACACGCAATCCCACCTGTGTTTATTGTGATTCACTTGAGAACCTCTTCACATGCAATTTAATACAACACATTGCTGCTTATTAACTTAAGGTAGCCTGTTTGACATATATTATTAAAAAAACTTATCTTGTTAAGCTTTCCGTGATGCTAAAATTTTTTTCATCATCCTGTTTAAAATTTTTATTCACTTTTCCATATTGACTATGCAGTCACTGCTGCTCATTGGTGACTAGTTTCGAGAAGTATTCCCGAAGTTCCAATGACAAGTCGTGACCGGTGGAGTCAAAGCCTGATGGCCATGAGGACAAATACTCAACGATGACATTGGGTGGCGGTTGCGCTATATATCGTGAGCTAACAGAAGTTGGAAATATGGAGCATTGGATTCTGACCCAGTGGCCCAATGATAACGTGCTGGCCGCGGAACCTGAAGGTCGTGGGTTCGATCCCTGCTGGTGGGGTCGTGGGTGCGCACTGCTGAGGAGTCCCATACTAGGACGAAACAGTTGCCCAGTGCTCCCAGGTTTCCTTTATTCCTCCAACTGATGTCAGTCTTCGATGAATAACAACTTGAAATAATTCTAAATCTCCACTACTCCCTCAAACTTTATATATGGTTAACATTCAGAACAGGCAACACTGTTTCTGAAATAAAATATGGCTACTTGTCGCTTCGCGTTTACCATTATACTGAATCAACTTGGTCGGTCACTGTTGGCACATCGGCAGCATGAATGCATGCTTCAGGTTTCGTTTTGACGTTGTTTACTCCGCGGTGGTTAGCACTGAAATCTTTAAGGCAAACCCATATGTCAGAAGTAACTGATAGACTCGTTTCAGTACAACAATCAAAAGAAATATTTCAAGTTGTTGTTCATCGTAGACTGACATCAGTTGGAGGAATAAAGGAAACCTGGGAGCACTGGACAGCTGTTTCGTCCGACTAGTATAGGACTTCTGAGCAGTGAGCACTCACGGCCCCGCCAAGGATCAAACCCGTAACCTTCAGGTTCCGTGGTCAGCACCTTACCACTGAGCTAGCCACTGGCTCAGAATCCAGTGATTCATATTTCCAGCCTCTGCTAGCTCACGATATAGCGCAACCGCCATCCAATGTCATCGTTGAGTAACTGTCCTCACGACCATTAGCATATTGCCCCCACCGGTCACCACTTAGCATTAGGACTTTGAGAATACCTCTCGAAGCTAGTCACCAATGAGTACCATTTCAATTGAATTTTGAAGGAGTTGTGGGGATTCGGAAATATTTCAAGTTGTTGTTTATCCTTTTTTCCTCCAACTGATGTCAGTCTACTATGAATAACAACTTGAAATATTTCCAAATCTTCATAAATAACAAATGATATCCATTGTACGAGAGGTGACTGTCGTAACTCAGTTGCCTAGTGGACAACGCTTCGGCACTGAGTCACATTTAGTGGTTCACAGAAATAAATATTTCCTATAAGTAAAGAGCTTCTCTTCACTTCATTTAACCTAGGAAGGGTCACTATTTACCCTAATGCTTTTGCAATAAAAGCTGATCAGTTTATGTGTAACTAAACATTTAAGCATCATATTGTTTTTAGATTGAGTGAAGGCACGTGAAATATACTATTTGGTTTAAGAAAGCAACTAAAGAGGAATTGAGACCTCATAAAAAATGACTTACGAAAGAAAACGTTCAAAGGACTGCAATTTACGATGCATCGATTGCCTATAATCAGCTTTTTTGTTCATTTGAGTAGTCAACTCAAAGTATGTTATTTTGAATAACTCATGATTCTGAAATGCTGGAGAATATTCCTAGTTCAGATAGATGGTCTTGGTTGTGTTGTTTTCTCTGAGGTGGGTCGTTTAATCGAGGTGCTTTCATCGTCTTTCTAGACGACATCTTCGGCACTAACTTCAGCATGAAGTGAGTTGTCAGTACCTAGCAGCGAGTGATCCAGTAGCTTGCCATGACCAACTGCTTTGTGTGTGATTGGTTGTTTCCTTTGATTGCTGTCTCGTTGACTGTATAGATTTTCCTGTTGGCTGTTTCTCTCCTTCACCTCTCACCTTTCTGTCGCTTATCATTTTTCTGATTGGTTGACGGACTGGGTCTATGTCTATACATCTGCTGATTGCTGACTTACTGACCTGAATGCTAAAACTCTAGGATTTTACTGATGATATTCTTTGTGTTTCCTCTCTCCCTCCAAAATTTCTACATTGTCGAAATTGAATTCATGTCCATAGTTTTTATCCACACGCATTGAAATGAGACATAGGATGTCGTGGCGTTTAATGGCCAATTGGTGTTCATGTAAACAAAGGTGAAGAGAGTGACCACTTTTTCAATGTCTAATGGAAACCCGCAAGCACTGAACAGTTGCCTCATCCTGGTATGGGACTTCTACGCAGTGCACAACTATGACCTTAGGTGGGCCTCAAAGATGGGACATTCAGCCTTTGTGGGGAGCACACTAAGCTCGAGCCAATGGATCCGAACTCAGTAGTTCACATTTCCCTACTTCCATCAGTTTGAAAGATAGCGCGTCTGACATGAAATACTGTCGCTGGATATTTGTCCTGATGATTCGCCCTTCCGGTCACGACTTTTAATTCGAATCTCATCTCAAAACATGTCACTAATTAGCAGTAGATAGTGATTCACCTTGTAGGTTTATGAGAACTGACTGATTTAAGGGGGTAACCATCAAGGAGTGACATCAGAATGTGATAAAATTCAACGAAATCTGAATGAAATATACTGTCATAGAGAGTTCATGCCTTCGATAGATCACCACTGAGTCGAGTCAACTTCTTTGCACAACGTATTACCACTATAAGTTGTAAAGATCCAATTACTGTGCACATTCAATGACTTGTAACTCTTACTATAAAACTTAAAGTCTAACTATTGTTAAGAAAATGTAGCTTAACTGTTAGTTGGTGGACTCGGAATCCTTGATCGATTAGGGTGTTTGCTTATTGGGAATCATCGAAAGGATGTAACCGCAATCATCCCGAAACACTTATTATTCGCTGATACTTGTAATCCTCCACTGTAATGTTGGGTCGACTTATTCGATCTCTTTTGATATATGGGCCCCCATGCGGATTTCTTGATACTGCCTGAACATTTTATTGTTATGATTGACTTAGTAGTGGCTAGGAAAGAAATAGGATAAAACGCGTGTCCTGGATCTCACTGCAAACCACAGCCAATTAAAAAACTTATCCCGAAACTAATATCCCAGTGGTGATTTGAACCCGCATTCAAAAGCCTGAATATCAATGGATTCCGGTCATGAATGATCTTTTGTATTCCTAGATAGTTTTGCCCACCAATGGATTATCTATGTAGCTATATATTCCTCAGTGCTTGACACTAGTCGTAGTCTTCATCTCTTATCATATTCAAATATGAATGACTGTTTTGAATAACACTACTTTATAACAACATCACAAAATGTAACTCTGAACAAATTTCCAATGTATATTAAACCAACACGCACACACACATACAAATGTAGAAACAATATGAAACTTACCTGATTAGCATCTAATCCCCAAAATTCCAATTCCTCTTCAAACAGTGGACCGCATACATCAACGGGATAATGAAGTTTACCAGTACGATAATAATTTAGTATTTGAGAGAAAACACCTGGATGACGATCATAGAAATATTCATTCAATACAGGATCATAATTTGCTAAGGCTTCAGTTAATTTTGATAGGCGTGTAGCTGGTATCTTTTTCAATGTTGCCTTATATGTTTCATGGCGAATCCCGCCAACATTCAAAATGACACGATTTTCAGCATCCATCTTATCTGAAATTGGAAATGAGATCAACAAAGGATGTTTTTTTATGCTTTTACATACAATTATATGATTTATTGGTGATATAACCACATTATACGTTAATATCCTTGTGTTTGTAAACACTGCCTCCAATCACCAACTCAGTAAATGAGCAGAAGTCTACAAACAGTTCTCCATTCTCATTCATTTCACCGAGTGCTTCTCCACACATGATCATTTCTCTTTCTGGGTTCTCCACTTCCATTTTGGCACTCATGTCACCCCACCCATTGGAATTTCGATGTTGCCATCTGGGATGGGGTGCTGTCCAGTGTTGATTGCAGTTGTCAGTAGAATTCCTCCTTCTTCTCTTGATCTCCATTACTTTTAGATGCGTTACGTAACATCGTGTGATTGTAACTTTCCTCTCTTTTGAGTTGAATCTTGCTGTCGTGATCCTGCAGGAGAAGATTGGCTCCCACTGCATGAGAGCCTTCGATGCTCTTGAAGGGGTCATCATGATGGCCACTGTAAAACTCGGTGTGCTCGTGGTTGTCGTGTGGGTGACAATATCGTCTCATATTTTTTGTAATCTGGGCATCGTTGGTAGTCAGCTTCAAACACTGTGTGAACATTCGATGTCCCTGTGCTTACTTTTCTTTTCATCGAGAGACATAAAGGAAGAAAGAAAAAGCTTATGGGCAGTCGTGGAGCCAGGTTAAAAAGACTACAGAGAGCAGATTTAAATGCTGACCTGCTGCTTAAGCTGTATGTTCCACTAGGAACTTGAGGGACAAATAATAATAGCAATAATATATCATACGTAAAGTGCAATTTAGGAAGCTTTCTTCAAGTATTCTGATTCAGTTGCCGCTTAAATCTTTGCGTTACCATAATCTTCTCATGGAACTGTTGTTGTCTTTGAGTTGGTTATAATCATTAAAGTCAGTCTTCGAATTGTGTTATATACTCTAGCACATTTTTAAAGTGTTTTTCAATGTTTGATTTTTCAAGTTACTAATAAAATTAAGAGAAAACATCATGGCGGGTGGCAATAGGCTTCTAAGTGGATAATTACATATTATTTAGCTCAAACTACAGATTTTCGTACTGTCTGACAAATAGACCTCTACCATCAAACTTGGGCACGATTTTCTGTTCTTCTTCAGCTCTCCCCAGTTCTTACAGAAAAGTTACCTATAAACTAAACGAAAAACTTAACAACAGTTGGGCATTGCGTTTTATTCCTTACTGTTGTGTTATTATTACCATTAGTTAGATGCTATAATTATTTCATTTAGAAATTTTCACAAGAAATACATTTGATGAAATATTAGACATTACGTTCGGTTGTGTATCAACAGCGTTGCCTGGAATATAATGTTTTCATGCATAGGTGATATATAGGATACTATGCATAGAAGAATATACTTTAAGCGAAATCCTTACAACATCGAAACTGAATGATTACTAATTTACACTGTCAGAAATGAACGTCGACAACCTAATGACTGTAGGTATCCAGCAGTTCAAAGAATTGGTGAAAAGATTTCATACACACTACAACTAATTAAATCATTTCATACGCATATCCTCTAGAGGTCAACTACTTTGTCAAACTTCCAAAGAAGGCTGACATAATCTAAGTCTTTGAAAGATGTGGCGCGGAATCATGCTCTTGTTTGCCTGAAGCAAAATAGTAAGCCGCATCATCTTGGAGAGAATAAACAATGCTCTGCATTCGAAATTACGATGAGAACGGACTGGCTGTCTGGATTCAAGAGAAACAAATCATTCGCGGATCGATTTGCAGTGCTAGACTAAGCATCATCATAGAACGGAACATAGAATGGCAGTCCACTGAACGTGTACGTCAACTGCATTGACTTTGAAAAGACATTTGATAGCTTCCAATGAGAAGTAATTTGGCAGCTGCTTCAACACTACGGTTATAGTGCTACAAACCTCCATCAACATCATTCAACAGCAGCTCTGTAAAATATTGCACCACATGCCAAGTGATTGACAATGGGAAGCTTAGTGATGCCTTCGAAGTGAAAACAGGTGAAAGACAAGACAATGTTGCTTACTATCACCGATGATCTTCCTGATTGTGGTTGACCCGACTCGACTGGATCACTCAATAAAGTGTGAGGGGCAAGAATATGGCCAGACACTGCTTGACCGATGAAAGACCCTAGGATATTTGAATTCCGCCGATGATGTTTTATGTCTAACGTCACACAAGCCTAGAGACTAGAGGTGAAGACAAACAAGTTGTGAGAACAGGCAATGCATCAAACATGGGACTTCCTTCAGGTAAACATAGAGAAGGCAGAGGTGATGAAGATACCCAACCAACAAAGACAAGGAGCAACCACTATCAACAGGAGAAATTTAAAGGAAGTTGTCTCTTTCACCTACCCACCTACCTGGGCAGGATCATTTCAACTACAGGCGAAACAGGCGCACATAAGGATATCAAAGTCAGGATAAGTAAAACAGCCTGATAGGCCTTCCTGCATTAATCTGAAATCAGCGTGGAGATCTACTGCATTGTACTGCACTCAGCACAAGCGTCAACAAGATCCGGATTTTCAACACTAATTCAGTCAAGCAAGTCAGTGCATCTATGTGATAGTTGACAGACTTGATGCCTTACGCAAGGCATTTCCAACAAACTGCAGACATACATGAACAGCTGTCGCCTTCTCTCGATACTGAAAATCGTGTGACCAGAATAATAAGAATAAGCAACTGGGAACTCTGGCTGGCAACGCATCAAGGAAGCAAGAACCGATCGCCGAACAAATATGCAGAAGAAGAAAGAGGAGATGGATTAGGCATACGCTGTGATGACCATTTGGGGGCATAACGCACCAGGCCACGATGTTGAGCAGAACGCTGATTCAGAGAAGGGGAAGTGTCATAGTGATTATTAATTTAACTCCCCGAGACAGTCATGGCCTAACAGACTGGTATTCATTGCAAACGTTGATGAATGAAGTTTCAGCCTAAATCCAAGCAGTGGCACGATTCAAACTAGAAGGTCAACAACTTAGAGGTCATCGATTTAAGTTCCACTACCTTCAGTCATTATTTCGCCATGGCTCACTAAGAGATTTTTATTAATACAAGTAACAGCAGTCACTGTAAAAAAAGACCGAAGATGTGCTCAAATTTTGAATAAATGGGCATCCTGAATTCCATTGCTAGCCACTACCTATCATTATCATACATAATTAAAAAAACAGGCAATATCAAGGCATTCGTACAGGAGCTCATATGCCAACAGAGACTGATCAATTCGGTCTAATCAATGATGGTATAATACAAGAAATAACGCTATAATGCTCTCATTTTTGAAGCGATCACTCCCGAGTCCGAATTCCGGTGGGAACAACATCACTCACTGGGAGGCAGGTACATCCAGCTGACGAGTCTCAAATGGGACGAAATGCTCATCCAAGATTCCACTGCTAACCACTACTCATCATCACCATACATAATTAGCATTTTTGTCGTGGATAAAGCATTGGTCAGCATAAATCAGCAAAATGTGAAGAAAAACAACAAAGTGATTTCATGAAAACGTTATGAGCAAGGATTACTGGTAGGGTAATCCCTTTGCTTCTTGGAAAACAAGTTTTAGACCGAGTTCACAGAGAACTGTACAACTTACGTAAACAAAACAAGGTCATCTCATCTTTTATTTGTTAAATTTTATGGAAACTATTGAGATATTTACCGTTCTTTAGTTGACTACGATGCATCAAGAGATTTGAAACTTGTTTATGACTAAAATTCGACACACGATTAAAGCAGAACACAATTCTAATTTCTCAAAGCTTAAAAGACCACCACAATAACTAATAAAATAACCAGATAGTTCTCCTTGTTTCAATTTAAAGATTTGAAGGGATTTAATGATTTCATCATGGACTGACGTTAGTTGGAGGAACATCGGAAACGTGGGAGCATTGGACAGCTGTTTCGTCCTACCTAGTATAGGACTCTTCAGCAATACGCACCCATCATTCTGCCCTCCAACGATCCACCTCAGGACCTTCAGGTTCCGTGACCAGGATCTTACTATTGAGACACTCGGTCGGAATCCAATGGTCCATATTTCCTACTTCTGTTAGTTCACGGTATAGCGTGACTTTCTTTTGTTGGGAAACTTTGTTTCACAGGCCTCAATAAAAATATCTAATTAGTTCTTTAGATGTTGAAAGAGTAATCTTAAGACTAACCCGACAATTTGCTTGGGGATGAGTCATATGTTAAGTGCATGCGACTTCCCTGTAGTACAACTGAAGTTATTTTTAGTAGAGTGACTCGTACAGACATAAACAAAAATTCAATAGGTTATACAAACATGTTGTGGTGAACGGTACTCATAAGAGTGTATTTTAGTAGTATATGTTACAATCGTGAACAAAAAGTGTTGACGATGGCCTGATTAAGATTCCGGAAAGAAGATGGTTTATTGAAATTTTTACAACAGTAACTGGAATTTCTTTTATTCCATTAGACTCTTTTTCAATACTACAAGTCAGATTAGAACCGTTTTGTACTAACCGACAAAATGATTTGAAAAAAAACATGCTCGATAGAGACTCATGTTTTCGTTTCTTTGTCTGCTATCACATCAAACATTGTTTATGAAATAAAAAGCCAATTCAGCATACAGTAACTCTTATCTTTTCAGTTCGTAAGTTGCGGTGTTGTTTTGAGATGTTATGGTAAGTGTGCTGTTACGTCTTCCAGTGGTTTTTAAACAGGTCAATTTTATATTTCAGTCTTCTCTATGGTTGGAATTTTCCTTAAAACAAATGAACTGGGTATTTTTAAGAAGCTATCCCATGGGTGAGACTACATTAAATCTCTTCTTATCACAAGATGTCAGCTAATTTTCTCTCCTTTCTTTTAGTTTACCCTTAGTTTTTAGCGTGATGTTCAGATATTCGGCCTGACCTTCATGGCTTCATTAAATTAGGGGAATTACTCAATTTGACAACCTACCTCT